CTCTCTCTCTCTCTCTCTTTTGCTAACTTATTGTACACGAACGTAAAACACACAAACAGTCGGAGAACCTCTAAAAAAAGCAATTAAGAACAATTTATTTGCGGCATAAGTTTCTTATCCATAAATTTGAACTTGCAGCTCGCACCATTTGTCAATGTTTTATCATTGACTGATAACTCCCAAAATAATGGACAGAGATAGATAAATTGTTATTTGTTCTATATTCTATTTAATATGTTTCATTCTGTTTTAAAAAAATATTTTGCTTGTTTTAAAAAAAAAATTTGTTATCATTTTTATCTATTTAATGTATTTATCTTATTTCTTTTTTTTAAAAAGTCACTTTATAGTTTTCTTTAAATTAAGAAAAAAATAATCTTATTTACTTCGAAGTTTTTTTGGTGGGTATTTTTCTTTGCGTCTAACAAAAATAATAAGTTTTGCGTTCTCCTCCTGCCCGCGAACTCACTGTGAACCCTCGACCCTAATAAGTCTACCTGTTCGTTGAAATGAGCTGACAAGTTATAAAGTTTGGACACAGGACATTATTCAGCTAGCCTGTACAGCTCTGCTCCTCCCACCCCCTTTAAGCCTTACCCCCTGGCGGCGTCAACCAGGACATTCTTTTAACCGTGACGGAAAATGATTCGGGGCTATTTTCTTGATCGCAGAGTTTTGGAACTGAACGAAAAGGACAGCAAAGTGTTGGTGAATTCGGCATAGTTTTATTGTTTTTCTGTTAGTTCATATTTTCAAGTGACCAAAACCTGAAGGAAGTATTCATTACTTACTGCATTTAATTTAAAGAACAAGTTGATAATCAATAGGCTATTGTATCATTATTTTTGAACATTTTGATTCATTTAATAATAACAGCCGTTTTTCACATGGTAGTAGTGGATAGAGAGCTGTCGAAGTTATAACCAATCAACAGATGGAGAAGTGTGCTTTTCTTCGGATTAACGACAGTGTAGATGAATCTTTATTGCTTTGTTTATGAAAGTGATAAAGCCTTCATCAAATGTTGTCCATCGAGGTTGTAAATCTATAAGCCATTTCTAACAGAGGCTTTAAATTAAAAAAGTTAAATATCGAACAAATCACAGTAGTGTTGGCTATTGCCTATCGACATAGTCAGATATGAAAGCAACTATGTAGAAAGGACTTAAAGATAAGGGGAAAATATGAAACTTTAAAGTGACAGTTTCAATTGCACAATCTATCATTTTTTCCACTTATGTGGCCTTGGTTTCAAAACAGTGACGTTGGGTGAGACACTTTCACAGTGAGGTGTTTGAGGTAAAACTTCAGATTGGCATCTAAGCATGATGACTTGCGTTTATGAGTGGTGAAGGGCGGAGCTGTCTTACTCGACAACTACTTAACTGTTTTACGCTGGCTGACCGCTGCGCTGTTTATGACGTAGGCACGGTGACACATTTTTAACCCACAGGCTGTTTTCGACCCCCCCCCCTTCCACCCACACACTCTCCCCTTTTCAAAACAGTATATATTTGTCTTTTGTAACAGGTAAGCCAGTACACAATTCTTAGTGATACGAAAGGTTCTGATTATATTCTTTCTTCCTCCACCTGAGACGTTGGGAATCAAGTGCAAGGTCAGTTTGTGTTTTTATTGTTATTGTTTTGCTGTGCTTTTGCTATTATTGCTGTTTCTATCGTTTCGTTTTGGCTAGTGTTGCTTAAATTAGTCAATATTAATGTTCATCAAATCCAGGTTTATTTGGGTTTTTTTATATAACGTTCTATAGATTTATTCATAGAAGTTGTGAAAATAAAGAAAGCAGAGGGGGCTTCCATTTCAATTTAAGCAGTAAAAAAGTAGAGCCTGTAAGATGAGACATCAGCGTCTTTCACTCAACCTCACTCCTCTGAATAACAAGGTACGAGAAGTGAAATCTTTAGGGTGGTCCCCCCCCCCCTCCAAAGTTATCATTTGAGTTCAATTTTGTTGCGCTTTTCTAACGATTACAAAGTTACCAAGCCAAATGAATTCATTTTGCTCATTTGGTTGTAATACTGTGCATAACCAGTCAGTTTATTTTTTATTTATTAGATGTCAGAATTTGCATTTGTCTGCTTCTAAAAGGAAGCGCCCATGTCGCATCATTAGACCCCCCCCAACCTCCTTCTTCTGCGATTGTGCATTCTCGGTGATTTTAGTACAAC